ATAAATAATCTACTCTTTTTTATGGCTGCGGGGTCTCTGGAGACTCCATGCATTATGGAGCTCCAGGGTTTGGGGGGGAGGGGCACACATCCGCAGGCCTTCCATCAGGTTAAAAAAGGGCAGATCTCAGTCTCTTCTTCTGGTTTGCTTCCCACATCTGAATGGCCAGCTCGCACATGGCCTTTCATCTGTCTCCCAGAACCAGAAGGGCTCCAGGGGCCGGGGCCGGAGGGAAGGCAGGGGTTGGGGGGCGCGGGGCTGGGAAACAGGCTTTCTTTGTTCACGTGAGTGATGGGGGTTGAGGTTCGCTCCCTGGGGAAGTGAGTCTGGGCAGAGCTTTGTCTGAAGGAGCCGGGTTTCCTCAGCATCAGGGTCCCTGGTGCCCTTTGGACTCAGCCTAGTTGTGGCTGGGGTAGTGGTCACCCGCAACTCCCTGCTCCGGATTGCTGTGGTTCTGGATCCTGTCAGGGTAGGAAGCATCACGAAGTCTTACCCTCCCTGTGGCTTTCCCTGGCTTAAATAACTCTGAACTTCACCTTCCCCTTACTGTGCGGTGGTATTAGAATACACCCCCCCCATCCCCGGGGTCTGCAGTGAGGAAACGGGAGGTCAGAGGGGGCAGGTCATCTCCCAAATAACTCTCTGTGGTTGGTTAGACAGATATCAAAATGTCATACTCCCATTCCGGCGCTTTGATCTTTAGGAGTCAACGTAGCTGATGGGTTTTAGACACTAGACCCGAGGATGCTAAAGTCTAGTAGCGAACTTCCGGGCTAAAGTCTAGTAGCATCCATTGGTTTGGGGGGAAGTACTTGTGCCTTGGGGTGTAACATGTAGCTAAAGCACATGGAAACCATCTGGTATCTTCTTTCTTCTCACTTGCCCAGTCCCATCTACAAACCATTCCAGCTTGAGCTTGGGGTGGCCATTTCCGCCTGGGAACATAACGGTTTTAGAAGAAGGTGTGTGAGCCAGAGGTGTGCGAGCCGTGATTACAGAGGAAGAGATGGCTCCATGCCACAGACCTCCAAGGGGTAAACAGGGAGTTCAAATGACGAGGTGGCACGTGTGCCGTGTCTGCGTTAGTGTGTTTATTCAGGTTTACTTTGGGGTAAAGAAGTGACCATGGAAACGTGGCTGGGAAGGTTTCTGAAAACACAGCAACCTCGACTAGCTTCGTGAACACCCGGTGAGCTTCGGGAGCAGGACACCTTCACGACATTCCGAGCGCACTTTTGTCTGCAGAGATGTGACACACACATACGGTGGGATTATTGGGAGGGACGAGGCCAGCAGATCAGGCCTGGGTTCTGTCGCCACAACTGCTGTGGATTGTGAGTTTCAAAGAAGTGCTCCCTGTCAAAAACCATGGAGAGGCGGTTGAGAATTCTGGACGGATGTGGAGACTGGATCTGTGTTTTGAGAGACTAATCTCATTTCCCTGATGTTTTCAGGGTTGGAAGGTTTTCGTCTGTTTTCATTAAAGGGGGATGACAAATGTCTAATTTGTACTTTGCTAATGATCACAGTGAGCATTTGAACTTTATTAAGGTTAAATGATTCTCATGTAGCGCTGGCTGGCTGGCTCAGCCTTGAACTCCACGTGCGACCTCAGGAAAGGTTTCTCTTTTATTCGGGGCTCAGTTTTCTGCCTCAGTGGTAACACGGTGTCAAACAGTGGACCTAGGTAGAGTTTAAGGTCCATCCCTCTTGTCCTCAGGAGCTCACAGTCTATGTAAATAACTAGCTGTAATCTGAGCTATGGTGGCAACACGTGTGGAACATAGGTGGAAACAGTGAGCTCCCTCTCTGTAGGGACGTACGCCACAGTGGCTGTGTCACTTGAAGGATGAGTAGGAGGGCTCTGTCAGGAGTGCACACTGGTCAGAAAGGAGGTGTCTGACTGTGGGGTCCAGAAAGCAAGCACATAGGGACAGGTGTACTTCAGGGGCCGGCAGGCAGCCCTTCCCTCGGTCCCTGGGCCGTGGCATCTCACTGCTGGGTCAGGATTCGTACTGAAGATGCATTGCCAGGGCTAGGGGACACTGTATGGCATGTGCAGGAGAGGTTTGTGCCTGCTAGAACTTTCAGGTTCTCAAGTCCCTTGCATAAACGGCACCTTGTGTGCTCATCAGCTGTAAATACCTTTCTGCATGCTTCTAATCACCTCTAGATTGCTTCTAAAATCTAATGCCGTACTGCTGCATAAATAGCCTTGGTAATGTATTACTTAGGACATAATAACAAAACGTGTTTGCAGCCGGGCGGTGGTGACACACGCCTTTAATCCCAGCACTCAGGAGGCAGAGGCAGGCAGATCGCTGTGAGTTCGAGGCCGGGCTGGACCGACAGCCTCCGAAACAATACAGAGAAATCCTGTCTCATAAAAAACCAAAAAAAAAAAAAAAGTGTTTGTCCGTGTTTAACAAAGTGATTTTTTTTTAATGTGTCTTCAATCTGTGCTTGGGTGACTCCGAACAGGGACTGGCTGTGTAAACTAGAGCAGAATCCGCGTAGTGGCATGAATGCAGCCTGTTCACACCCTGAGTGGCTTTCCTCGCGGTCAGGAGAAGTCTCACGCTGCCTGCGAGTTGGGAACTTGTAAGAATTTCTCACCCAAGCCAGAGCAACTTTTGCGAGCATGTGTACTGAGGAGCGTGACTGCTCTCAAAGGGGACATGTAGGAAGAGGAGGGGTTGGCAGGGGTGACAGACAGAGAAGAGAGGGTGGGAGTGAGGGTAATTAGACTGCACTGCGTATGTGTATGAAAGTGTCAAAGAAAAGGTTTAATTAATATAATTGGAGGTTGTGTGCCCAAGTGGAATGAAGTCTGCAACTTCAAGTTTTCCAATCCGTTAATGTGCCAGGAGAGTGAATGTCTGTACTATTCATGGCCCTCGGCCCCTTGTGGCCCCATGGGAGCTGGTGTTTCAGGTGACGGTAATGTGAAGTTCATGCCGACAAGGTAGTTGTTACTTAGCTTTCAAATGAAAGTAAGTTTAGTTGTAAACCGAGATTACAAATATAATGTATGCCCATTGTTAGAGATTAAAATAATACATAAAATCTCGTGTAAGGTTTAAAAGCCCTAATTTCCAGCCACCGAAGATAAGCAATATTTTTGTGACCATTGTCAAAAGATCTCTCTTAAGGTAGCATGCGTGTGCACATAGGCGCATAAATGCGTTTGAGGCTATACGCTCCCATCTTGGCATCTGATATTTTCATTTGAAGTCAGTTGAAGTCTTTAGCCAAAAAATCAAAATTCTGTGTGTATGGTGTGTATGTGGGGATACGGGCATGCCGTGGCATCTCTGTGGATACATTTGAGGAATCATTGTTTTCTTCCTTTCTCCTTTATGTAGACGCCTGGGTTGAACCTTGGGTTGTCAAGGCCTGCGTGATGAGGGCTTTACCTCGCCCATCTCACCAATCCTACCAATCCCCTTCGGTCACTGCACAGAAAGTCATGCACAGACACACACATTGATTCTCTGTTGACTGTTGGCACCCTCCAATGCCTCCCCATTGTCAACAACACTCTGATGGACCTCTCTCTAGATTTCTTTTATATCTTTAGGTGTTTCCTTGGATTAAAGTTCTGTTAGTGGTAATGTTTGGCCAAGGAATGCAGGTCGGACGCTTCTGTATATGTTGTCAAACTGTCTTCTAGAGCAGGTGGTAGCTCCTGTCTGGGTGGTACTGTGCCACATCTCCCTCTGTTTCTTGAAGACATCGAATGAAAAAGAATGAGCGGGTGAGAAACATCACTAGTGACCAGGAGGCCAAGCTCTTGTGTACACGAAAGACAAGAAAAAGTAGTTTGCACGTGTATCTACGGTCACTGAAAGAGGGGGAGGAAACCACCTCTCTTGACTCCTAACTGCTGAACCCTGAAATGAGTTGATTACTCACCAACTTCAGGATGGAAAAGTAAATGCTGGAATACTTAGACAGTGGAATTCTGTGTAGCCTTGAAAATGGATGCCCAACCGTGTATTACAGTGTGACTGACTCCCATCAGCACTGCTGAGCAGAGGCCACACACATAGAAAAAATAAAATACTACTTTACTGCTTTCCATGCATACTATATTCAAATAAAATACTGCTTTGCTATCCATGCATACTAGATTCAAATAAAATACTGCTTTGCTATCCATGTGTACTAGATTCAAAGGTCAGAATACACTTGCCATTGGAAGTCCTGCTGGGAGGACACTGGTGGCAGCATGTTTGTGTTTGGTTTTTGCTGTGGCTGCTAGCAACTAAGTACTTGGCACACAGCAGGCTCTCAGATATTTGCTGAAAGAAAACCACAAAAGCGTGAACACTTGTTCATCTTTGCAACAGACTTTAGCCTAGGATTCACTGTGACGGCATGGCGTTCTTCCTAGTCATGAGTTGCAATGTGGAGAATGTATACATGTTTTTTTATATATGACTTAAATATGACTCTGAATTCACAGGCCCTTTTGTTTATGCTTTTGCGAGGCATTGCTGCCTTCAGCCGATCGGGTAGCTTTTTTTCAGGACTGTGAGGGCTTGGGTTCCGTCCTGAGCTCCTGCTGTACCAGCCTGTGGCTTTGAATGAGTTAGCTAGCCTTCTGGACACTCTGTTTCTCTGTCTGTAAAATAAGAATGATCGCAGAGCCTGTTTTGTTAGACTGTTGCAATGCTGACACCATGGATGCCGCTGACCACCAACGGCCCTGTTTGTTACATGCTGAGCACTGGTCCTATGTCCTCGGACGTAGGACATGGCCTGTTAACTCATTCAGGTCATACTGCCTATGTTGTGTTTTACGGGACAGACTTTTGTAAACATTGAGCCATGGTTTAGACCCAGGTGGTCTCCACCTATGGTCTGAGCTTGGTGTACAAAGGAGTGCTGTATGGAGAATGTTTAGCAAAGCCAACTTATGTGAGCCGATTGCCACGCTTTCTTCACTGCTACTAACACCCCCTCTCTTTCTCTCTCGTCTTTCCTCCTGCCCTCAGATGTTTTCCAGCAAGGTAAGTTTCACCACTCCCAGTTGTTCTGTTGGCTGTGTTCTTTGGGTGGTGGGACTCTGCCTTCTCTGCAAATTAAGGGACCCTATAAGAACGGTGGCCTGAAGTGCCATCAGTCTCCCTGGGGCTCTGCATCTCCCTCTGAACCATGTTTGGGTCTGGGTCTTTGGACTAGACATCTAGGGAGGAGGGCAGGGATGACATGGCCCTTGGAAGGAACAGTTATCTCTGGAGGGGCTTGCCCTTCCAATAATCCTGCATCAGAGGCTGCTCCTGCCTTCAGAGAGCTCCCCAAACCAGTTCCAATGGATGCTCCTTTGCTGAGCAAATATGTAGCCATGTGGGTGTGGCAAGAGCAGGTTGGCCTGCCAGTTTCTGTCCTCCTGCCTAGCCATGCCTCATAGCCTCTCCAACTGTTTTACAGGTCTGGTGAGCTGGAAACCCAAGTGTTTTCTCACTGGTACCTCTGGCTGGATTTTAGTCCTCACCATGTGTAGCCATTGTGCTCTGGGGTCATGACCTGACTAGAACCTTCTAGATGCATGTGATGGGGAATTGCTTTCCAGCCTAGTTTGGGTAATGGTAGCAGACATTCGTTGTTTGTGTGCAAGCTGGGAAATGTGTCTGCTGCATCTTTCTGGAACCCAAAGCCGGTTTTACAGTAAAGGCTTAAAAATAACAACCAAGCATTCCATAAATAGCTTCCAAATATTCTTAGAGGTTCAGTTTTTTTTCACAACTGCTATTTCACCCCAAACACCCAGTTTGTGTTTCAGAGAATGTCTGCTTTCTGACAGAAGATGGGTTGTGGGTAACGATGAGGGTTCTGTTGTGTTATTGTCTTTTAAGAGTCTGGAAGTCATAGACCTGCTTTCATAAATAATTCAGGAAATTCCAACAAGCTATAAGCAATAAGTTCCATTTGACTAGAGACTAAGAGATGAGCAAAATTGAAAAGGTGTCATGGCTGTCGGTGTAATAAAAGTGCCACCGTCGGAGCCCACTGCTGCTCCTGCCGCCGCCGCTGTGAGTTCTTGGCCCTTGACAAATTGGGGGTTCAGTGAGAGAGTACCCCCTGCATATGATCTGCGATGAAAACACCACCCAACTCCGAATGGCTGTCTCTCTCCTAGGAACAAAGAGCACCTGAATTGGGAATGTGTGTTTGAAGGCCTTTGGTGGGGGGGGGGCTTCCATCAGGTCCGTGTTTCTGTGTGCCGCACGCAGTTGAGCCTTCCTGAGCGCTATAATTGATACAGAGAACGGCTGGCAGCCCGCTGGTGTCAAGCTTGTGTCCTCTTTTCACCAGTCATGGTATTCAAGTGATGGAATTTGCCTGTCAGTTGCAATGATACACACAGTAAAAGTTATAATCATCTGCAAATCACTGGCTATCGAGACCCTGATAGCATCTGGAAGAGGAAAGAGGCCTGTAGCCGACAGCTGCCTCCCCGCCTCGTGTGATGGAGGCAGCAGCTCTCTCCTGAGGCGCTAGGAGGGTCTGCATCCCTGGAGAAAACTGATGCACCTCTCCGTAGCCATTGGTTGCGTATGGCTTCTCAACCCAGGGTGGGATTTTGTGAGCACCCCCCAATCTGTGCGGGGGGGGGGTGTGGGACTTGGCTGTCTTGTTCTTGTGTAGATCTTGTACGTGCAGGCAGAGCTGCATGGAGCCCATCTGGACAACCGCACTGTCCTGCAAACGTTGTTTCTCTGAGATGACTGCTCCCTCTGGGTGTTTACGTCTCCTTCACAGGGATTCCTGGGCTTTGGTTTGATGTCGCTGTCCCATTTAGAACTGTGTATCCCAGTCTTATTCTCTGCTGGCTTACCAGTGTTGACTCTCTGGGCCCATGCTAAAGGAGATGGTCCTATACCAGTATGCACACAGGCAGAAATACGTGTACTTAGGGACCAGGTTGGAGAGAGATTAGGAGGGGGAAAGTGGTAGTGGGCGGAACAAGAGAGGAGTTTGAGGGGGAAGAAACGGAGTAGGGTAGATTTGATGAAAACATCACATGGATATATAAAATTCTCCAGAAAAGTACGCTTCCAAATGTACAGACCAGATTCAGAACACCTGATTTCTATTTGTTGGTTTTTGATGTTTTCCAACTTTCACGAAATTTACATACTTTATAATCCATATTCTGTAGAGTGAATTTTTGACCTTCAGTGCGAGAACTTTGGAATTTCACTTGTTGTTGAGATACTACAATTCACAGAACATTTTTATGTTGGACGCACACACATAAAAGGTTATCCCTGGGATGATGGGATTACTGTTAATTATTTACATGGCTCTGCCTTGAGAGGACCATTTTGTACCGAGACACCTCAGGAATGATGGCTAAGAGCTTACAGAGCTGATGCCCACTGCCCTCCAAGTGCTGTTGCTTCCTGTCCTGTTGCTTCCTGTCACCCTACCCAGGCAATGCTGGCAGACATGGGAGACCAAGCAGAAGCTTTCTGCATCCTGTACACAGAGTCTGGAAACATGATCATCACATTCAGAACACCAGGAGACATACCTTGTGGCGGAAAGAAATGGCAGATATCTAGTGTTTGCAAATCAGTGGATGCCACCCACTGTCATCCTTTTCTGAACCCTATTTCTTGGTGGCCACTGACAGTGGCTCTGCCTGCCTGAATGTATCCTGTGACTTGGGTTTGCCCAAGGGGCCCGGTGGGTGGAAGGGACACTGATTTGCAGGCACACTCCAGCATCAAAAGGAGAGGCCTGTCTGTCTGCATTATGCAGGCATTTGCGTGCATGCGTGCGTATGTGTGTGTGAGTGTCTCTGTGAGTATCTGTGTAAGTGTGTCTCTCTGTGTGTCTGTGTGTGAGTGTGTCTGAGTGTCTCCGTGTGAGTGTGTCTGTGTGTGAGTGTGTCTCTGAGTGTCTGAGTGTGTCTTTGTGTGTGTCTTTGTGAGTGTGTCTGTATATGAGTATGTGTGTGAGTGTGAGTATGTCTCTTTATGAGTGTCTGTGAGTGTCTGAGTGTGTCTGTGTGTGTGTCTTTGTGAGTGTGTCTGTATATGAGTGTGTGTGTGAGTGTAAGACTGTGTCTCTGTGTATGTCTTGTATGTGAACGTGTCTGTGTGTCTGTGTGTGTCTGTGTCTGAATGTGTCTGTATGAGTGTGTGTATGTGTGTGAGACAGTGTGTCTGTGTATGTCTGTGTGAGTGTGTCTGTGTGTGTCTGTGTAAATGTGTGTGAGTATGTCTATGTGTGAGTGTCTATGTGTGAGTGTGTCTATGTGTTAGTGTCTGTGTATGAATGTGTGTCTGTGAGCGTGTCTATGTGTTAGTGTGAGTGTCTGTGTATATAAGTGTGTCTCTGTGTGTGTTAGTGTCTGTGAGTGTGACTCTGTGTGTCTGTGTGTTAGTGAGTGTGTATAAGTGTGTCTCTGTGTGTATGTGAGTGTGTGTGTCTGTGTATGAATGTGTGCCTGAGAGTGTGTGTGTCTGTGTGTTAGTGTGAGTGTCTGTGTATAGAAGTGTGTCTCTGTGTGTGCGTGTGTTAATGTCTGTGTGAGTGTGACTTTGTGTGCCTATATCTGTGTGTTAGTGTCTGTGTATAAGTGTGTCTCTGTGTGTATGTGAGTGAGTGCGTGTCTGTGTATGAATGTGTCTGAGAGCGTGTGTGTCTGTGTGTTAGTGTGAGTGTCTGTGTGTATAAGTGTGTCTCTGTGTGTGTGAGTGTGTGTGTGTGAGTGTGTGTGTGCGCGCATGTGAGAACATGCTGGTGTGTGCACGCACTGCTGAGCTCCATGGCAGGAACAAGTGGGAAGCAGGCCTACGGTTGACAACATCAGACATTCTCAGAGGAAACACAAGTTTATTTCCTCTGGATTGCATTATCTTTTATTTCACTACAGATCAATCTTGCTACAGTAGGTGACAGCCTGGCAGCTACTGCTGGGCCTTTCAGGACTGTGTGAGGCTCGTGTTTGTGGGAGCGCGTTTGTCTCTTGATCCTATGACATTTTATTGCCTGTTCAGGTGCTTTCATCTAGAAATGCCACCATGTGCTGCTGTGGTGCTTAGACCGTGGCTTCTGAAAACAGTCAAGGACCAGTGGACCCACAGCTGACTCTTTTCCAGACAAAGAACCAGGGCCAGAGGACCACGCTTCCTGTTACTCATAGAGCTCATGAGCTTACTGGTGGCTCTCACAAGTTCCCAAGTACCGCATGACAGGTCTTCAAGCACGCACTGAGACACCAAGTATGGGCACACACGTCTCCACTCTCAAGTTTTAGAGCCCTTCGTGCCAATCGTTTGATGGTGGAGAACAGGCCTGTGTGCACTTGCAAACGCTCCCACACGTGTGCGTACGCTTCATTTGAAGCCGCTGAAGCGCCTCTTGAACGCTCACTCAGCCGTAGATGCAACCTTGATTCCAAAATCGAACAGAAACCCAGCAAGCAGCCTGAACATCAGAACACCGTCGCTTGGCGGAGCATTTGTAAATATACACGGGAGCAGAGCCTAGATTTGGCTGTTGCATTAATTCTCTCTGTACTCAGGTCCCTGTATGACCTGAGACCAAAGTTTCCCCCCACTCTAGTTTCTGCCGGGGGTTGGGCTCTTGTTAAGGGGGCGGGGGGAGGGGATGCCTCCTTTGTCAAATGTTTATTCTGCACCAGGTACTTTTAAGGCCTTGATGACTGGGGAGTGAGCAAGACAGCAGGAACGGGTCGTTTTCATGGATCCGACAGTTGGGGCATGCAGGGTAGCTGGTAGCCAAGGAAGTTAGGGAATGAAGTAGTGTTAGAGTGTGCGAAGTGAAGGAACCGTTCCAGGCTGACACTCCGGTGCCTAGGGGCCCACCCTCTCTGTGATGCGGTCAGGGAAGGGCAGGGACAACGGGTTAGAGCTTCTAGAAGATTGTAGGGGAAAGGGCTTGCAAAGGAAAAGACCATCGGGGAGGTGCCCAGCGTCCTGGGATCCAGAGGGAGCAGGTGTGGCTGGAGCTGCTGAGTGGAACAAGGAGAATG